TCTCTCTCCGCTCTCCTTTTTACACACCTTTCTAAATTTAAATCTTTACACCCCCATCGACACAATGTATTCAATTAATTTAGGAGGCCGGCCTCGATCCTCCCTGTCAGGGTCAACCCGGGCTGAAAGGGATTCAATTTCCCAACAGAAAGAACGAGATGATAAAAATTATCCGCTCACGAGAATTAAACCCAATTCTTCTGCACGACAAAGCACCTACCCGCTACACTACAAACATAGTTTTCTGTAACCCTGACAAGTTGGCTGCGCCCAGAAGAATTTTAAAAAATGAACAGCAGTGTGTTTTTTGTAATTGATTCACGCCCTACTAGATATATGTGCATCTTTGTCAGGGCAGCTAGTTTTAATTAACGCATACAGCCTCTTGCTTGTAATTTTTACTTGTCACAATATGTAAAATAAAGTTTCGATGAAAATGCTTGAGAGGAGTATTTAACCTAATCAAAAGTCTTTATCAAGTGTCAGATTTACCTTCTTTTTTTCCTTTCTTTTTTTGTCTTTATTTTCTTCCGATCGTTTGTAATAACAGAATGGTGTCTAGGTTTTTAAAAAAATTCTAGGGATTTTTTTTTTCTTCAAATTTTAGTTGCGAGTTTCTTGAATGACGTCAACGACTGAGGGACGAACGGGGTGTGTCGTTTCCAGATCGAGTATCCTCTTGTGGGAGTCTGGAGAACAATGAAAACCTTTGTACCTGAGTAGTGTCACCTTGCAGATCACTGCAACTAGTCTTTGGCCTCGTTGTCTGGAGAACGACTGGGATGACATCATAGAATTTCGGTGTCATCAGACACAAAGCTGGGGACGGTCTTGACGCCGGGGAGAGAGGGGAATCCTTGTGTCATGTGTAGTAAGAAGTTCTACAGGGGGAGAAGGAGAAGGGGGCGTGGTTTGGTGTGTCACTTGTGCTGACTCTACACTGTTTTGGATCGGAAAGGGCAGGAATGGATTACGTTAAAAAAATCTCAAGAATTTGGTTGTTGAAATGACTGACAGCGAAGATGTGGTTCAGTGTTTCAGATTAAAACCTCATGCGCACTTGAACACTTTATTTCTTTTGTATTTATTTATTCTTTTTTTTTCGTTCTTTCTTTTTTTCTTTATTTCTTTCTGGATGCATTTTTTTTTTTTACTTATCTCTATTTTGGCTGTTAATTTGGCCTTTACTTCAAAGTCTAATTTCATTTAAAGTTGATGCCCACTAGACAATACATGTTTGATCACATGAGATTGGGTGGGACCAGGTTGAGGCGCTATCCAGTACAAATTACTTCAAATTGACCTTTGCTTTGCTTTTTCAAACTTGACCTGGAAGGCCTTTGGGGCTATTGCATTCTGCCTGCAAGGAAAAGATCTAAATCCATTTTTGTGTTTTGTTGTATTTTCGTTTTGTTGGGTGTTTTTATTATTTTTTTTTTATTAAACTGGATCTGATAGACAAAGAATCTGGAGGGATTAATTAAATTTTGCCACAACGATTATTGTGGCACCTTTATTTATATATATATATATATTTTTTTTTGGGGGGGGGGGATTTGGCGGCTTTCTAATGTATCAAACCATGTATATATAAAAGAGACTTGAAGAACATTTTTGCAAAATGAATTGGGTATTACGGTTGTTAGAACAGGGGTGAAGGGACATAAGTTTTTATGTCAGGTGACATCAGCGACCCCAAAAGACGGAAGTAAAAGCTACGGAAGAAAAGGTGTGTTTTAATATGTTGTGCACCCTGCAGAAATTTGAGAGTTACAGTGACTTTGTATGTACTCGCTGTCCATTGTGACATTTCTATTTTTTTACTCTTTAGTTAGTATAGATTAGAAGGGAAGTCCGGTTCATAAACTCTCCTACTCCTATTGCACAAAATCAACAGTGGGGAGCAAAACTCGTATTGTACAGATTTGGATGATGCATTTGAGTTTATTTAATCTTTTATTCATTTTTTATATTAAAATTCAGGATTCCCCTGATGTTGTGTGTCTTGGGTATGAAAGGAGTTGCAAAGAAAAGGAATAAAGTGGTCAAATGGTCTGTCTGAAATAGTTTACTTCCTTTCCTAGGAAGTCTTTAAAAAATGCTGATCGCCTGATTTTTTTTTTACGTACAAGCCCAGCAGGATGAGTGTGAAAACGCTGTAATTTATGAAGAGTTGTATAAGATAGGTTAGCTAATAGACCATTGCAGTAATCCATACATGAAAGCAGGAAACATTACAAGAGAGTTTTTAATAAGCATTCTTTCGAAAACACAGCACCACAAAACGTTTTTTTCTAAAGATTTTACTGATATGCTTGTCATTTATAATTCATCCGGCTTTACGGACGAATATTATGCTTCGTGTGGTGTTGACAAGTGGCCTTAAACACTGAAAAAATATCTACCTACCTACCTACCTACGTACCTACCTACGACCTACCTACCTACCTACCTACCGTTCTAAAACTTAGGTACATGCGCAATTCTAGGCAATTCGCCAAATAGGGTTGCATACAAATCATTGACATTATATCATCATTCCATTGACAATTTAAAATCAAAATACTCTACCAGATTGTTTACTTTCTTTATCACTCAGATACAGGTGGGTTGTTTTCTTTCCAATACACTTGCGATCACCGTTATTCCAAGCACCTTGCCGCATTCATATCTTTCCTAAAATCAAAGAAGTTTGAAGGCGAGGAAGAAATTGCTTTCGAAAAAAAATCCTGCGCAAAAGACTCTGGCCAAAGCGGACTTGGGTCACAGCGTTTGACCAATGGCTACGTCGGATGAAAAAAGTACGTTAAGATCAACGGTTATTATGTTGAATAGAAAGCGTGCTTCGGTGGTTATAAACAAAATGTCATGCTTGTTAAATAAAAGTTGTTGATTTCACAGAATAACATTGAAACTTACTTCTGGTGGGCTACGCATCTCGTATTTAGCCCCAAATTTTGACTTTAAAAAAGGAGTTCCTTAAAAGGTGTACATCTCCGGAGCTCCGAATGTAACGTCCATCTCTGATAGGACCATGCCAATTGGGAACATTCGTGTAAAGTGCTTTTCTCAAGGACACAATACCAGACCATGCTGAGCATTGAACAGAAAAACCCCCCGCTAACTCACAATTACGAGTCCGAGAGCCTATCCATTAGACTTCAGATGCCACCATAGCGTCCTCCAAACACAACAGAAAATTTGGGAATTGTGTGTGATACGCGATTTTCTCACACCACAGACAGTATCATAAACAAAACGGAAAAATCTCGGGAGAGAGCGGGATAGGGCCTACGTTTTGCAGTTCTTAGACTTGCTAAGATCTGGTGATAACGACCAGAGCGGGTGTCTTCGGCTGAAGTCAAAAGGCAAAAGATTACCCTGATAGGAAACGCGATGATACATGGATCGTATCATGTGATAGTAATCCAATACCAGAACCTCCGTGAAAATCTGTGATTGTTGTTGAACGTGTTACTAAGACATTGTGTTCTTTACACGCTGCTTTTCTTTTGTGGGTTGTTCTTTTCTCCTCTTTTCAAAGGATTTTTTTTCTCTAAGCACATTGCTATTTTGATTTTTGTCTGGTTTCGTTTAGCCATTCTTCAAACTCTTCCACGCTCGAACGCTCGAACGAAAGCACGCACGCGTACATGCAGGAATATCCGAAGCCAGACGGATGAAGTGCAGGTACATTTCTGTTGCTACTGTTGACATGTTATGCTGAATTTTACACAATGAAGGTAATCTGTGTGTGGTTGGATGGATGTCGCTACTGGTAGGTCTTACTTCTTTACTTTCCCTCACTAGATGACCAATATTGTCTCGGTGTTCTTCTCTATACTCAACAAACAATTCAACAAAGGAGATTTTGAAGGCGGGGCAGAGTGCTTACCGCTAGGGCCCGGAACTGAATGAAAAAGAAAGTAACTGGAACATAACTTTCATGTAGCAGATGAAGTTCATAACCTTTTCCGGGCGCTTCTTAATTAGCTGGGTTGAGAAGATAAAACATCCCAGGAGAAAGACCAAAATACAAGACAAAATACCTCTCCCCACACGAGTGTCGATAGCAAGTCTTCCGCGTGCTAAGGCGTACCCCCTAACTACTACACCACATAATACGCTGGTCCACTAGCTCAAACCCAGACAGACAGTGACTGGTTCGCCCAGCCCCTTACATGAACAGCATTGTATTACAATTCAAACTCAGAATAGAACGACTATCCGATAACACAGTGCTAACACACTCACTATTTATTCGCTTAGTTTCCCTAAAGACACGAGACCGATTTCAAACAAACATTTTATGTGACATGTGACATGGAAAAAATGATTGTCAGTGTTAGGGACCTCTGATTATACAGAGCTTTCTTGGGGCAGCACTCGGTTCACAGACACCACTTTCCTCTTCTCCTCAGCCCCCATCATTAAAATACGGAAGTCACTGACCATCCAAATCCCTATCATTAGTCCGCTCCATGCGCTTTTATTGTTACTAATTCTTCTAAACTTTCCGACTACAAGCTGTCTTGTCTGAACAGCTCATTATTGTGAAATCCTATAGCCCTTTGGGATGCCGAGAAGTGCTGGTGTTCCGAAAAACTTTCGCGACAATATTTGAAGGGTTTCGCTTGTTTAATAATTTTAAAAAAAGGAAAGGAAACGGAAATAAAACGGAGCGGGCAAAAACATGTCATTTACCACCAGGCTGACTGATTCTCTCCCCTTGTGTGCTGAGCTGTCTAGCTGAACAAGGGGGACAACCCCGTCCACCGACGACAACTCGCTAAACACAATAATGCGGACTTATCCCCCTTAAACAATGCTGGTTTCGATTTCAGCGTCTGTCCTGAAGACTTTGAGCCAAAGGGCCGCAACTGTGGGGTCGGAGTACAGAAAAGCGCCGCGGGAAGTCTCCGCAAAAAGGATAGCGTAGATCTGCAGCGTGAAGTCAGCTTACCCATCAAGTGAGTCAGCTGATTCAGATAGTTTACTAGTTTACTAATGATATCATCCTATCATTATACCTTAGATCAACTGCTTATCCAGCGTATAGGCTATTATTATATTTAACATGTCAACTATTTACTTAATTTAAGCATTTAACCTACTGAAAAATAATAGATCTATCTATTCGTTTTTTCGTGAAAGATGCACCTATAATGATATTTTTTTAAAAGCTGTATGGTTTTCAAATACTTACTGACCTGCAAGTCAGATTTATACAACAATTTTGAAGACAATGTACATGGCTTTGAGGTTCATGTAGTTTAACGTAAAATACTTGTCAGTGCCATATTATGTAAGCCATGTATGTTTCTGGAGAACGTGTACAACTTGCGAATTGTTTTTCCTTTTTCGTGGTTTCAGATAACTTCAGTTTGCCAGCATTGTGAGTGATTGTAAACAGGTAGTAGCCTAATTTATATAATTTGGGTAATTTCGGAGGCAATCTGTTTCGACTCCTGATTTACAGTGTCAACATGTGTGGGACACAATATCCAAACATAAAACACACTTTCTACTCAGAAATCGAACTTGCATCTTCTACATCACTTACTACATACGACAGTAAAAATAATAACTATAATAACAACGACAATAATAATAATAATAATAATAATAACAGTGCTAGATGCTTTCTTACCAGCGCTAAAATCCTAACATACGTACCCGATTTTTCACTGTCTATGGTCGGGTACCAATGCCTACAGTATAAACAGAAGTTGACACCGGGTACCCGTTTATACTTTTGAGTGAAGAATCTGTAAAACATCTTGTATATAGAAAGTCACAACGACGGGTCAAGTTGCGTCTCGGAACCCCGAACATGCAACCTCACTGTAACGATTTCTGTAGTCTAACCACTAGACTACCGACGCCACACAGCAGGCACATTGACGTTTGTTGTGTGTATGTGTGACCCCCAGTGACCTTTGAAATACGCATGCTTACATTCTGGTGGTCACATTGAGTTCAAATTAAATGCTATCAGCATCTGAAAGACGCCAATGTTGGACTGTAACTAAGAAAAGATAACCCAAACAATTAGAGTGAGACAGATGTAGTCTCATGAGACGCTTGAATCGACATAAAACCTTTGAATATCTTGCTCTCACCAGAAAGGCAGAAGACTAAAAAGCCAGAGGTAGACAGAGATAAACGTACTTAGAGAACGTGAACAAATGATGACTTTTTCAGACCTGGTTCTTGAGAAGAAGAGTTTGGTGCAAGGGCAGCAACTACTGTGTAAGACGAATCTGTAGGTGAAAATTTTGGTACGTACCACATTACGTCATTTTATTTCACGCTGGTTAAAAGAGCAGACGGTCTTGTGTAAAATCCCCAACTTTAACAGACACTGTATCTCACAAAACATTAATAATATAGTAATACATACATCTTATGTCCTTATCTACATAGCGGCAGGCGGATTCGACCTTGTCTGTCTGGGCTAACCTGTATAGTATTGCAAGGTTGTTTACGAGGCACGCAGGACCCGAATTAAGAGCATTGGTCTCCGATATGTTCGATGCAAGTAGGAGGAGAATGCAGCAAACTCCAACAACAAGCAAAAAATGTCCTTTGGGAATTCGAACCTGAGTCATACCAACTCTAGACCCTTAGAGTACCAACTGAGCTAACTGGATGTACAAACGATAATGTATTATGGGTAATTGTGTCAAATTTTCGTCCAGTTGTGAATTATCTACAGTTTGGTGGGAACTGGTCAGGTCAGATTTCCCATTTCGCTCATTTCTGCTCTTCCCGCTTTTTTGTGGAAGGGGGGGGGGGGCGTGCACTACAGACATTCAACAATAGCTAGCCAGGATGTGATCTCATAATCCTCCAAAGTACTATTATCGTGAAGAAGTGGAAGGCATGGATGAACTACATCCGTAGACTGTCCTGCCTCTCTGCCCTTTCGCAGTTGCAGGCAAGGCATGAGCCTCGAACATCTTGTTGAAGAAAATGACTACCCAGCTTTGTCCCCTCTGCATTGTCCAGTTCGTCTTTCCAACTCGACCTGATCCAACAAACCAGATAATAAAATAAATAAAAGAAATACACGTCATTTTTAGGAAAAACTTTCAAGCTTTTATGACCATTGTTTCATGCCATGCTAAGACTTACCTTCTAAATGTGACAAGTTCTGATGACAAGTTCTGATGACAAGTTCTGATGACAAGTTCTGATGACAAGTTCTGATGACAAGTTCTGATGACAAGTTCTGATGACGAGTTCTGATGTAGATGTTTTCCCCTGTCTCTCTTTTAGGTTGTCCCGTCATGTTTACTCATCAGGGACTTATACACTTGGGTGGTGGGTAATGTCACTGTCATCGTGCTGGTAAGCTATTTGTAATTTCAAGACTCTACCTAATTAGCTATTTAAAAAAAAATAAAACGGTTGATTGCACAATTGGGTGGTAACTCTGTATTGTACAACGCTTATAGAGGCTTTTGGGGATCAAGCTCTCTACAAATTTCTGTTATTATTATTATTATTATTATTATTATTATTATTATTATTATTATTATTATTATTATTATTATTATTATTATTATTATTTTTATTATTATTATTATTATTATTAGTATTATTACTATCATCCTCATTTTCATTGTTGTTGTTATCGTTGTTGTTGCTATCATAGTTGTCGTTACTATTATTACAAGTGTTATTAGTATTATTGTTGTTGTTATCATAATATTATGAATGTTATTATTATTATTAATATTATTATTATTATTATTAATATTATTATTATTATTATTATTATTATTATTACTATTATTATTATTATTACTTTTGTCATTCTTTTTCTTTTTATGGTACAAACATCGACGATCCTGGGTCTCTATCCATTCCTTTGCTCGGTTGCTCTAAAAAAAAAAAAAAAGCTACATCATCCTGATCTGTCCCTCTCCCTCATCTGTTTGGGCTCTCCGAATAAGCTGCTGTGGCTTTTTGCCTCCAGTTTTGCCAGTAAGAACCAGATGTTCAAGGCCGTTATGTTTATTCAAAGTGTCCATGGAAAAGGTAAAGTTGATGAATAATTAATTTATGCACGCACTTTCTACGTTCCAGTCGGACAGAACTGTAAAGTAGTAGCAGTGGGTAATCCAGAGCATTCCTATAAAATGTTCAATCTAAACAGCGAAACAAATTGTTAAATATTCTAAATTTTACCCGGAGACAAACAAAAACGCTTTCATACAGAACATCAAAGCCCCCCATTAGCAGCTTCTAAATCCTGCGCGCCTTTCAAATGAAAAGAAAACAAACTGCAAAGAGTGAGATTACTTCCCTTTCAGACACGTCACGTGCGATTGAAAAACTCGGATGAATAAAGATAATGTGCGTATTTCGTCACGGTTTTCCATGTTCGTATATATTCACGGTAAAGGGAAATAGCCGCCGTGGATCATACTTGTAGTTTCTCCAAGTTAGCCCAACAGCAGCTGTGCTTCCTGTCATGTAGAATTGCTCTGAACTCGACTGTACCCGAGAAGTTAAAAAGGAGAAGGTACATTAATGAATAACAGGATGGTTAAATGTGGATGAATGAATGCACCCATTATTAACTAACTAATAGCAGATTGAATTATAAAGCAAGACGCTACAAAGGATGAAAGAACGAACGAGAGGGAAAAAGAAAGAAAAAGAAATGAAGGAAATGGAGGGAGGGAGGAAGAAAGGTACGAAGGGAGAAAAACCAAAAACGAGAGAGAAAGAAAGAAAGACAGATAAAAAGAAAGAAAGAAAGAAAAAGAAAAAAAGAAAAAAGAAAGAAAGAAAATAGATTGAAAGAACTTACTTATTTCATAATATTATGTTGTTAGGTTTTTCATGGGTGCTAATGTGATCTTGGATAGTTGAGATTTTCGGGGTGGGCTATGATAAGCTTACTAAAGAATATCGGGCGAAAGCTTGGGAACCAAAAATTGAAGAAGAACTAAGTGTGTGGTCATTCTTTATGTGGATGTTTTTGTATACTACTATCGACCCTCTCTGTGAAGGCCACCCCAGGCTGAGAGAACTACATATATTGCGAACAACGTCTCAGCAGAAAGACCGAGATATGCGATAAGAATTCTCCACACACGGGAATCGAACTCGGGTCTTCTGCGTGCGACGACAAAGCGCCAAGCCACCACACAACAGACCCTGATGTGGTTATATTACACTACTACGGTACTGCAGTTCAACAGTACAGTGTTGGAAAAGGATGAAACAGACAGCATTGTAAACCGCTCTTCAAAACCAGACTGCTTACCTCTAACTTTGAGTAAAAAATGAAACAAAATAAGTACAAATCTTTCTATCCATTAGCATTGTTGGGTGAATAAAACATTCCGCAGACACTTTTCAGGAGCAAAGCCAAATTGTATTGTAGGTATCAGTTTAGCCCTGTTAATTTTTTTAAAATTCTTTCAGTGGGCGTCGGTGGCCGGGTGGTTAGATAACCGGACACATAATCGCGAGATTGCGGGTTCGAGCGTCAGCTCGGTCCGACGTGTCCTTGGGATAGGCACTTAACACGAATTTCCCGTTTGGCTTTAAACGACAAGGAGAGTTTTTTTCTATAACCAAACAAATAATAACGTACCAAAGAAACCAAACTTCTCCTATAGGAAGGGCAATGCCCACTTTTGGTGTAGATCAAGTTTTCTGGAAACCCTCGAAATCTAGGTAGGCCCCTTGTCCGTAAAAGCGACCTATTGTTTTTTTCAACTCGCACTGTGGCACCTGGTGATATAAGCAAATCTATGAGGAATGACTTAATCATAATATTTTCTAGAATTTTACCATCTGTGATAAAGACATATCTTTGAAGGATGAGTTAATCACATCTTCTGGGATCTTACCATGGTCATAAAAATCATTTTAGAGCTTTGTTTTTTTTGTTCAGAGCTGGTACTCAATTCTTCTAATGTGGAATTCACTTTAACAAAAAGTAATATATCCCAGTAACTTTTCTCTACTTCATGTTATTTGCAGCATGTACACGTATTTTTTTCCCGACGTGGTAACCTATTTATATCTTTGTTGAAAGTTTCCCCCCTCTATTGTCTTTAAAAAGCTATTCGATGTATTCTTACAGTCTTTTTGAAACACCCTTTTTATCCATTAAAATACCCCATCCTTTTGATCTTATGCCGCCTATGTTCCTGCATACTTTTTGCCCACTTACCTCCTGGGTTTTTTGACGCGTGATAGATATCTTTTTTTTTGTTAACAGTGATTATCCATCAGTGTTTCTTTTGCTTCATCATATTATTTTGGCAGGTATTTATTTCTCTATTTGAAGGGATGTATTTTTGCACGTTGTTGACAAACTTTTCTCTTTCAATTTCGTCATTTCCCCCCCCCCCCTCTCATCTCAAGAACTTTGGGGGACCTTTTCTTCTACTGCCTCTTTCACTGATTTTAAAACTTAGAATGTATTACTTACATCAATAGAAAAACAACCTTTCAATTTTTAGTTCGCCTATAAAAGATACATATGAAATGTCGCTTTTCTCTTCTTTTTTTTTTTTTTACAATTCTATACATTACGTATCTTAATTACACTTGACTGGTGCAAAATAGCTTTCATAATCTTCATTGGAAATTACAGAGCAGTGGCTTCCTATTGTCCACTGTCAGTTTGTATAATGTTTTCTCTGCTTTCATTTGTGTCGAAACGAGGTGGAATCGGGCGCTCGTCAATTTTTTGGGTAAATGGAGTTATTTGTACCATTTTAAAGTTTGCTTTTATCTTACATTTGAGGGGAAAAATCCAATAATTACTTTCAACAGAAGTCGAGATATTCGTGACTAAATGAGGTTATTGTCTCCTTGTATCAGAAGCAAAATTAGTGAGAAATTGGCCGCCAAAGTTTGGTGACTTACAAAGCTGTATGTCCTTGGAAACTGTGAATTTACATATATTTTACTGTGCTTTTGATCAACGTTTTAATAAAAATCACTTAGAAATGTGTTTATAAATGAACATAAAAAATGTTGGGAAATAAAAAAGAAAATTGATAAAAATTGCTCAAGGAGTGGAAAAATGCAGGTTTCTTCGATTTCATCAGTTTGACGAGCGCCTGATTTCCTCGCGATGACTCACATTTATGCCATTCATTGTATACCTGCAAGGTAGTATTTGTGGTGCTCATATCGCCCAATTGTTTCATTCTTTGAGTATTTGGGGTATCTATTAAAGCCATCGGGATTCTCCTCAACTCTCCACAAACAATTGACACAAAAATGTGTTTTTAAATTAACATAAAAAGAGTTGGGAAAAAAAAGAAAATTGACAAAAATTGCCCAAGGAGTGGAAAAGTGCCTAGCCTAGAGCTCAAGTTCACTGGTTTTCAAGATCAAAGTTCAAAGGTCAATTTCGTTGACACTCTTTATTGTGGTTAGTGGGTGACAGTGGGTTTATTCACTCTTGGTTTGCGACTGTTTTGCAGGTCACTTCCATATCTTGACGACACTATCCAACCCACCATCCGGGGACATGCTGGGTTGGGTATGGGGACCCACGCCAAGAAACGTTAATTGTACGTGCCTGGACAATAGGACAAAAACCCTCTGTGCTCCTGGTGTTAAAATTGTTGTTGATGCTGTTGTTGTTGTTGTTGTTGTTGTTGTTGTTGTTGTTGTTGTTGTTGTTGTTATTGTTGTTGTTGTTAATGATGATGATGATGATGATGATGAT